TCCTCCATGTACTGCAGATTCCTCCCACACTCCAAAGACATGATGGAAGGTTAATTGGGTCCTGTCTAAATTGGCCCTAATGTGTGAGATGGGGACCTTCGGTTGTAAGGTCCTTCATGTACGTGGCCAGCTTAGAGTGAAGCTTTACTTGCTCAGTCTGCCATGTTTGTTTGCTCTGCCACTCCGAGAGCAGAGACATTCCTCTACCAGCTATTCTAAAAATGAGGAGCATACTTAGTTATTCTTGTTTTTTGTGGTGTCAGGTGTTATGACAATACCTTCTGTTGTAAGAAGCCGATACTTTTCAGTGGTTTAGTGGTGGGCTTTTGGTCCCTTATGCCCACCTCACCGTAAGTTGACCAGGATGGACGCTTTAGGCTAAGAAGATCTGGAATGAAGACTTAATAGGTTGTTAATGAAATCATTCTGCAACCTTCATTCGTTCTGACAGCTTTCATAATCATCTAAACACTTGAGGCGGATTGTGCGGTGGAACCAGTTTTCCTGCTTTGAAGGTTCTCCTCCTCTTCCCCCCCCTCCCCCCTCCAGTTAGGGCAGCAAGTGGCCGTTTATTCACACGATTTCCCAAAGCAGTCGTCAGGTGTGTGTTTGATGTGTATACACCGTCAGAGAGATGTGTGATTATGGTTTGGCAGAGACTCGGAGATTAAGTATTTCTGCGTTGCAACATCTCTCATATTTTACAAATGGTAATAATAGGCTGCAGCAGTTTGGTGTGAACTCGTCACATTGGGAACGAATGGGATTGCTGCTCGGAATGGATTTTGCTGCAGGAGCATGGACAAGTATGAATGGGTTCTGAGTCTGTTGGGTACAAGGGTCAAATAATGGAACTCTCTTACCTATGCATTGCTGTAATGCATGGTGAAACGCATGTGTAACGCCTGTTCCCATAATGCACGACACGCTGTTGGGTGCGTTGTATTGCCATGTATTTAGAATGGCTCCTTTACGCACAGGTACGCTAGGTACTGATGGACCTGCCCTGCGGTGCAGTATGACACACATCTAGAAGGTGCGGGTCTGGGTATTGCTCTGTTGCTTTGTGTTGGCTGCCCAATCTTAATGAATGAGCTGCTGCAGTGGACCTTCTATTTTAAATGACTTGGAAGCCGCAATGCATATTAATGTGCAAAATATGGCACAATAATGTGCATGCAGTAATGCACCGCAACCCCAAACCCTTGTCAGGCTTCTATCTGTGTCTGTGTCCTGGTGACCGCTTGTTATAACAGGCTTTCTCAACCAGGGTTTCTAGAGCAGGGGTAGGCCACTGACCACCAATGTAAAAAGGGTCATCTCTCCACTGCTCCCCCATGGATAGGACCATTTCTCCACTGACACC